GTTGGTAAACTTGAGGTGACGTGGGGAGAAATCCTCCGGCTTCGCAGGTTCGATTCCCCACTCTGTGGGTTCGTGTCCTGTTGGCTCTCTCTCTCAAGCCTCTGCCAAAGCGTGCATATCCCTCGATTTACATCCCACCTGGCTGAGGGGCCTACGGCACAGGTGGGGGGGTTCGCCTTCGGGACTTCCTCCTCATCAAAAGTCCTAAATATCTATGTCAAAATAAAATAAAACTTACATGATGATGATGATAAATTATTCAAAGTCTTATTTTCTTACTAGTGGAAATTTCGTCGATGCCGTACTGAGACAGTTAAGTTTTTGTGGACTTGCTGCTATATTCATTTTCAACAGAGAATCCAAATGAAAAAAACAAACTTGCATGTAATCATGATGTGATAGTCAGTACCACAATTATTTTTTTACTTTGACTTTTAGCCTTTTCTTAGCAGACTTTTATGGTAATTATTGAGAAAAGAAAAAATATTTTGAATAATAACTTTTGAAGAAATTGTGATTTAAAAAAAACTAAATTTACGTGTAACAAATTTTATTGTGTATATTTGTGATTAAAAATAAGTATGAAAATTAAAAAGTTCTATTTTAAAGGGAAATAAACAGTACTTCACTTAGTTGTTTTAACTAAAATGAATTAATCAAACTACTAAGCATCCAATAAATATTAAATTGTCATTTTTCTCCATTTCGTGCACACATGAATGCTAAATCATGAGGAGAATATACCAGTGAAAATCACATTTTCAGATCAAGACTGGCAAAGAATGCACCATTATAATCCATTACTCAACAATGGCTACAAATTTCGGGGAAAATAGAGTTCTGCTAGGTGCAGAGATTTTTTTTTTCTCAGAATTTTTACAGATTAACACTTGACGAATTTTCGTTTATCCTCGTCAAAAACACAAGAAAAAGGCACTATACAGGTGTTGCGTGAGCCGTGTGAACAATTCCCTATGTCAACCCCTTCTCAGTTTTCAATACATTGCTGCACCTGACAAAATGGTAAAATTACGAGCCGCTACAAGCCTGCAGTTACGCCTACTTTACATGAGAAATAAAGATTAAAAACGTCAAAAGAACTATTGATTGCATTTCGTCAGTTTCCTACGTTGCTTCGTCTGATTCCCAAGATTCTTTCGGCGCTCTGAGAAGGTTAAAAGGATTTGGTGGAGGATCAACAGGCAATGTGCCTTCTAGAACTTGTATTACCTCACCCATTGACGGTCTCATTCGATCATCAACTTGAAGACACCAAAATGCAATGCGTAATGCGTGCTCCAAGTCTTCCGAATTTATCCCACCTGAGATCCGCGCATCAAGCACTGTCTCAGCATGACCCTCCACCCATTTTTCATATGCCCATTCACAAACTTCAGCACTTTGGTATCCACTGATCAATACGAGCAACAGATTGCCAAAGTCTCTCACATCGGTCTCTGCCATAACCCCAACTTCAGAAACCTCAGATAGAATCGTCCTCAGTCCAAATTCCGTCACCTTGGCTTCCAAGTCATCATCCAAAAGAACATTTTCACATTTTAAATTGCCATGGCTCACAAAGTCTCTACACCCGCTGTGCAGGTAAGAAATGGCCTTCGCAACTTCTAAGGAAATTTCCATTCTCTTTCCCCATGTCAGACTCTTGCATAACTTGGGGTCTTCCAAACATTTCCCTAGCGACCCATTACTGACAAATTCATATGCCAAAAATCTATGGCCCGACTCAATACAGTAACCTTCCAGCTTCACAAGGTTCTTGTGATGGATGCCTCCAATTCTTGAAACTGCAGTTCTAAACTTCCTCAGTTCAACAGTTGTATTGAGCTCTTTGATTGCAACTGGCCTGTTATTGGGAAGTATACCTCTGAACATCTTTGGTCCAATCTGGTGCTTGAAATCTTCTGTGAGGCACCTGATTTCACTGTAGGATAGTGTGATGCACCCTTCAGTAATTGGACGTACATCTGCTTTTGTAGATTTTTTCTTGATTTTTGCCCTCCTCTTGAATATGTAAAGACCAAGTCCAAATTGTATCAAAATAAACATGACAAATGTAGTGGCAGAAACTCCAACAAGACAAGGAATACAAATTGGAGATGATGAATTCTGCAGAATCCTTTCCTGGGAAGGTGGAGTGGACTTGGGGAATCTGGGCAAACCAGCAATTGGATCCAAACAAGTCTTAACAAAAGATATTGAACTCAGAGAGGCATCAAACTTACCACCGATGTATTGTGTTTTCTGAATGTGGCACAGTGGGTTTTTATCATTTGTGAAGGACACAGCAGTGCAATTTTTGTCTTCGTTGCACAAGTTTTTACATCTTTGTAGACTTGTTCGTACAGCTGTTTCATTCGCTGGGTAAATTCCATACAACAATGTATGGTCATATGTAATCAAAGATCCACCTGATTCACAACTTTGCTGATATGGAACCAAACATTTCGAGTTAGATTCACCATTCACCTTAAATGGACATCTGCAAACATGAGAACCAGATTCATTGAGGGCACAAATACCACGGAGGCCACATGTTGCGAAGACGTCACATTGATTATCAAATGCTTGCCAAACTGACCTCCATGATTTTGAAGAATTTATCCAAGAGTACATTCGAAGGTTGCCATCAGCATCTAACCGAAGAAACCTAAACTTTACATCGGAATCATTATGATCTTCACCAAATATAGACCAAACAGATTGAGATCTATTGTTAAGTAATTGAAATGTTCCATCAGAGCTAATTGTTGCATGGAGAGTTGATTGAGAAGGATTTCCTTTGGACCAGTAAATTACACTGGTTTCCCACCTAAGTTGCAGCTGACCTGAACCATTCATAAAAAGACTGTAATAACTTGACACAGAATTTCTGCTAGGAGGCCGAAGCATTTGGTGAATTGATAAATTCTGCCCCGGGAGAAGTGTGTCACATGGAGCATCAAAACTTTGCCAAAGAGGATTTTTATCTACATTCAATAGAACAAGATTGCCGTCATTACGAAGAACAGCTGATGCAACGGATGCATTCCGAGTCTTGCTAGTCCAAGCAATATCTCCCGTGAGAGAATCGAATAAAACTAAATTGCCTTCTTGAGTAAGTTGGAAATATGACTTGCTGCCAACTGTACGGTCAGCTCCAGCTACCCAAACCACCTTTTGATTGTTGACAGGAATTGAACTTGAATTGAAGCGGATCCCTACACTATATTGGTTCAATACATTAAAGAACCCAACTGCAAAGTCTCCATTTGAGGAAAGCCAATAATTGTTTTCCTCGACCGAAATTTTCGAACCCAATGGAATTTGCGAATTGACACCAGAGAAAAGCAATAAGACCAACAAGCTATAGATAGCGAAAGATAATCTGAAGAACGCTCTTTCAATCCCGAGCATATTTGAATTAGGTCAAGAAGGTATATATCATTACATCAGAATGCAGAATCTCTGTGTGCGCCTATTGATTAACATTCTATACCTGATTAATTCAGCTCCATCCTATAAGCAATTAACGGAAAGTAAGGATCACGTCTTCAAAAATTGAGATTTTTTTCGACCAGAAAATCTAAAATGACATTAGATCAGACACAGATACAGATAGAAATTGAAGGAAATATTGACCAACACAAATATCCATACATTATTCTCATATTAAAGGGACCGAGTAAGAAATAACAATTGAAAATCGAATAATTTCAGAATCGGCATCAGCTGAAACACATGAACTGCAATTAAAAATCAACGAGTAAGGCGGCATTCAGAGTCTAGTACCTGAAAAGATTTTGGCATTGAGAGCATCAAGATTTTGGCATAGAACATCCCAGATTCAGCAAGCCTTCAACTTGGGACTACAAGAAAATCACCAAATTGTCAGAAAAAATGCAGAATCCAAAGCTGATGATTGAATCAAATCAGCTTAAGACATATTCAAAGGTGGACCAGAGCATACAACTCTATAAAAGTAAACAACCATACAAAATCCTCAGTCTTTACTGGATATAAAAAGCATACTGAGAAGAGTTCTGAATTGAAATTTTGGCACAAGTGGGACCCAATTAAGGTCAATATTTTGACTCTTTAAGCCTATTCAATTGCTTTCATCTTTCTTCAAGGCTCAAGTGACATACAGAACAAATACTAAACAATTGACTGAGAACCCACATACAGAGGGGGAGGGGGTTTTTGAAGATTTTTAGGCAAATAATGGCCAAGAAATGTAATATTTCAATTTGGACCACAAAATTCAAACATTGGAACAAATGGGACCCTAACTTTAAGGCAATGATGACGACCTAAGCATTTCTATCACTTTCTGAAATCCTCAAGTATCCCAAATTCAACATCCCACGTGTTGAACAATTAAGGGTTTATTTTTCTTTCAATCCGTGAATCATACTCGATTTGTAATCGAAGTAATGATCCCCATTAGTACCAATTTGATTTCAGTTGATGCAAAATCTCGAAATGGTTCTCCAACTAAATGAAAAATAAATAAATAAAAATGAGGACCTTAAATCTAAATGCCAAGATTATGCAGTAGTAAGAACTAGATAAAACAGCAAAAGTGACAATAGCTGTACTATCTTGAGAAATTTGGGGTGTTTTGGTCTATGCAACATATAGGACTTACCAGAAGAGATATTTTCCAACAATGCCATCGACAAAGATGACTGAGAGCGCTGGAGACGAATATTCCGGTGAGGAAGCCTGACAGAAATTGTGAACGGAAGACTGAAGAGAAAGAACGATGGTTGGATTTGTGCGGCTCTAAAAAAGTATACCTTTTTGCAGAGGATACAAAAGTAGGATAATGCTGTTTGTACTATGTTATTTAACAATATGAAAAATAAAAGTTGATAGGAAAGATAAATTATTTTTTTAATTATCCAATGATAATATGTTAACGTGGCATGTTGTGACAACATTGTACATCAAGCATAATTCTACGAAAGTAACATAGAACTAAGATGAGGCTCCGTTCTCCAAAAATACATTTTTGCTTTCTTATTTTCAATCACTCATTTTTCAATAAAATAATATTACACATAAATTTATAATTTTTCTTTATTTTTTAATCATTCGTTAACCAAAATATTACTATTAAACTCTAAATTTACTGTTTATTTATTTTGATAATGGAATTAGGTTCGAATGATTTGTTTAATGTGGGATTAAGGATTTGTTTTATTAAAAAGGGTGAGATGGGGTTGGAGTTTACTTTTTGACTTTTAAGGTGGTGTTCAGAATGTCGGAAAAACAGCGTGTCACAGTCAGGACACAGGTNCGGAAAAACAGCGTGTCACAGTCAGTACACAGGTCCGTGTAGCTTTTCTTGCCTTTCTAAAATGAAATAATTGTAGATATGCAGTGTTTGGCGTTGCCAAAAATCGTGAGTTGTTTGAAAATTGATTATAGCCAAGTAAAAATTAAAATTCAGATTTTAATATAAATCAAAATCAACAATTAATTATAACCACATATTACATGAGATTCACAATTTTTTAACCACATATTCCATTAATTTTTATCAAAATCTACTAAAAATCTAATTTTAATCTCCATCAAACAAGGTGTTATCTGTTCCAATCAATTTTTTTTTATTTTTTTCATTATCATTATTTACTTATTATTCACACATTTCCGTAGGCTTCGAGCTTAAAGTCACTTAAATTTTAGTTTAATCACTTACTAAGCCATTATTTGGTAGAGATTAAAATTAATTTTTAAGAGATTTTAATAAAAAATTATTAAATTTGTGGTTAAAAAGTTATGGATCTCATAAAATATTTTGGTTTAAATTAATTGTTGATTTTAACTTAAATTAAAATCTACCAAATCTGGGCTAAATATGCAATCAAGGAGATGAATTTGAAGGGGAAAAAAATGAGGAAAGTGGAATTATTTTTGTATTTCCGTTGTAGATTAACCGAACAATTTGGAAATATGATAATATGAATTTCTGTCGAGAGCTCAAGAATTATCCCTTTTTTTCTAATTATTTTCAACAAGTGGAAATGCTCATTTTTAAATAGGCTTATTAGCATAAAACGTCCCACGGAAAAACAGCGTGTCACAGTCAGGACACAGGCCCGTGTAGCTTTTCTGGCCTTTCTAAAATGAATAATAGTAGATATGCAGTGTTTGGCTTTGCGAAAAATCATGAGTTGTTTGAAAATTGATTATAGCCAAGTAAAAATTAAAATTCAGATTTTAATATAAATCAAAGTCGACAATTAATTATAACCACATATTACATGAGATTCACAATTTTTTAACCACATATTTCATTAATTTTTATCAAAATCTACTAAGAATCTAATTTTAATCTCCATCAAACAAGATGTTATCTGTTCCAATCAATTTTTTTTTATTTTTTTCATTATCATTACTTACTTATTATTCACACATTTCCGTAGGCTTCGAGCTTAAAGTCACTTAAATTTTAGTTTAATCGCTTACTAAGCCCTTATTTGGTAGAGATTAAAATTAATTTTTAAGAGATTTTAATAAAAAAATATGAAATTTGTGGTTAAAAAGTTATGGATCTCATAAAATATTTTGATTTAAATTAATTGTTGACTTTGACTTAAATTAAAATCTACCAAATCTGGGCTAAATATGCAATCAAGGAGATGAATTTGAAGGGGAAAAAAATGAGGAAAGTGAAATTATTTTTGTATTTCCGTTGTAGATTAACCGAGCAATTTGGAAATATGATAATATGAATTTCTGTCGACAGCTCAAGAATTATCCCTTTTTTTCTAATTATTTTCAACAAGTGGAAATGCTCATTTTTAAATATCTAACACCTTTACCTTTTTTCTCTGATTCCTTTTCTTTCCGTATACAGTAGAAGGTGAAAATAATATATTACTTAGTAGAACCGTCGACTTACATTCTTACCGCATAATCTTCGTCTAAGAGTCATCATTAAGGAAACGAACTGGTTTTACTTGCATAGTCAAATTCTCCATAAAATTTATTCGTTTCACCGACGGTTTAGATTTAAAAACGAATAAGAGAAACGGAAAGAAAATTTCTCTTATGGGTAATTGGCGCAAAACGTC